GTTCAATCTAAATGGGGGTCGTTAAGAGTCTACTTCAAAAAGTGCGTGCAAAAACAAACTCAAATACTCCGGCGAGGCGGCGTATAGCGTGCACACGTTTGAGTGCTTTTTTGTACCTCGAGGGGGGCCGTGCACACTACATGTTGCAACTTGACCGTAGGGCCGTTTTGAGGGTAACTTGGGCAGTTTGGGAGCGATCTTGGGCCGTTTCAGGGCCCAGTTGGAGCAAGCATTGTTGCAAGTGAGCTCGAGGCGTCTGAAAAAGGAAAAGTCTCTCCCAGGGAAGGGTGTTCCTTCCAGGATTGGCCGGTCATACCCCCCAGGGCCCCCCCCCACCCCCGCGAGACACCCCTCTGTAGGGGATGGATCAAAGGGACAGGGACTTCCTTTCGATTCGATTACGACGTGACTCGAATTCCCTCTGGATGGAACGCTTGAGGAGGAGGGTCCAGGGCAAGGGGGGGAGCGACGACGACGACGGCACGACGACGACGACGACGACGACGACAACGACAACGACTTGAACGGAAAAGCCTCAAAGGGGGGTGCGACGACGACGACGACTTAAACGGAAAAGCCTCCTCACGCACGCCGACAGTATCCGTGGACGCCAACAGTTTCGGCTGATTTCTGTTTATTCTTACCGTGTCGGGGTCTGGGTGTCGGGGTCTGCATGTGTGAAGGAGGAGGCGGGAGGAGGAGGAGGAGGAGGAGGAGGAGGAGGAGGAGGAGGAGGACGACGACGACGCTGAGTGGGAGGTGTGTTCGGAGGATGTGGCTGCGGCGACGAAGCAGGACTCCGCCAACACCGACAATGACGGCGACCGAGGCGGCGACGACCAGGCGGTCCCCCGACCCCTTCCGGGGCTCATCCTGGCCCGTGTGTCGGGCCGCGTCGGGCTTTTGCGACGAGGACCTCCAGGAGGACCCCCCAGGAGCCCCCGGAGGCTGACCACGCCCCCGACGACGACGACCGCGCCGACGCCGCGCCGACGCCGACGGCCCTCGGCGGCGCAAACCCAGAGATCTGATGTCGTGATTTTTTCAATGCGGGGTCCCCGGAAGTCTCGAACCATTCGACAGCACCAGTTTTTCATCCTGAGTCGTTCTTTGACAGTCCCGGGGCCCGGCGAGGGCCCCCAGAGGCCGAAAATTGCGAAGCACCTCCGCCTTGACTTTTTTCAATGCGTTGGATCTCTGGGAACGGGCCGCCGACCGCGCGCCAGATCGGCAGCGGACGCTTCGCCGGGAAGGCGCGCGTGAGCGCGCGGAGCGCCGGGGCCACCTCGGCGCGCGCCGTGCGGGACGCGGTCGGCCTCCGTCCGCCGCCGCGCAGCCTTCGGGAGGGGATCGGTCGTCGGTCGTCGGTCGATCGGTCGGCCGTCGGTCGGTCGGTCGTCGCCGTGGCCGTTCGTCGTTGCCGCGTGTCGTCGTCGTGGTGGGCCGTCGATCGTGGTCGTCGTCGTCGTCGTCGTCGTCGTCGTCGTCATCCGTCTTCGGCCGTCGGCCGTCGTCGTCGTCGTCGTCGTCGGCGGTCAGCCGTCGTCGTCGGCGGTCAGCCGTCGTCGTCGTCGCCGTCTTCGTCGTCTGTCGTCTTGGTCCGTCGTCGTGGGCGTGATTGTGGTCGTCGCCGCCAGGATCGAGGCGCGGGGTGTGGCGCGTGATGGTGGTGGGCGTGGTGGTGATGGTGATCGTCGTCGTGGTTGTCGTCGACGTCGTGGGGGCGGTGGTGGTGCAGGTCGTTGTCGTCGACGTCGGTGGTGGTGGGCGTGTCGATGGGGGTGATCGTCGTCGTCTTCGTCGTTGCCGGGGAAATCACCGTCCCCAGACCTCTGACGTCATGCTTTGTTAGTGCTGACGGTTTTAGTCGTGCTTCTTGTTTCTGCGGGGCCGCTTTCGGGCCCCGCGGCCACAGAAACCGACCCGTGACGAACAACATACATTACATTCTGGGCTTGCGCTTGCCTCCACCGGAACCTAGACCTTCTCCATTGTTTCTTTATCCATATTGTCCTGACCAGAGCCATTGCCCCCTTCTGCCAGTTTCTCACGGTTTCTGCCTGCATATCGTGTCCGCGCCCATGCTTGTATCCCTCTTTTGCCTGCGGTGTGCAAACTCTCCGCGCGCGATTCGTCCCCCTGCTCTCCTGCCTACGATGCCCCTGGCTGGCCTGTGCCGTTAGGGGTTGCGCATGTCTTGCTGCGCATAGCGTCGCGCAGCTCCCAAAGGTCCCTGGCTGAGCCTCTGGGAGGGTCGAGCGCCCGCGGCGGCGTGCGCGCTTCTGTCCGCTGGTAAAAAAGTCCACGGCGCTTCGTGCCGCGAGCTAGGGCACGGTCCACCGCACGAGGCTGCCTGCCCGCCAGGCGGCGCGTTTTGCCTGCACTGGCGGCCATGTGTGCCATGCTGTGTCAGCTAGGCGCCCGATGCGTTGGGCACGGGTCACCGCGCGAGGATGCGTGCCTTTGTCGGATCGGCTCGCGCGGCGCGCCTGACTTGCACTGGTGCCCCATCGGCATCGTGCCGTGTGGGGAAAGATGGTTGGGACTGTCTCCCTCCCTTGATCGAGGAAATGCAAACGTGGATGAAGTCGCGTGGGTTAGCGACGGCTCCCGTTTCCATACCGAATCGGCGCGCCCACGCGCCAGATCCACGGATCTCTAGTCCATCTTAGCGTGTGTCAGATCTTGAGTGTTGGAGCGTGAGCAGGAGCACCCAGCGCAGGGAGCAGGAGAGGGAGCAGGAATGCGGCCAGCCCGTCGGAGTCGGGGGCACGTTCGGGCCTGGAGGAGGGTTCGGGGTTCCCGTCGGGCTTTCCCTTCGGCTCCTCCTCCCAGGCTCCACGACGCGGCACCCGCGGCCAACGGGTGCTTTACCGCCAAGAGGCACGCAGTGACAGATGCATGTTCCGTTGCAGTGCCATGCGCTTGCCAGTGACAGTCTTTGTCCCTCTTCCTCTTCCTTACTCATGCCAGCAATCTGCAGCTTGCCGTCCACGACAAACGCGAGGGTTTGTAGCCGGATCGCTTCGAATGGCCAGTGCTTTTTGGCGTTTCGTCCCTGAGGTGTCAGTTGCTTCTGTGGTCATTTGCGCGGAATTAAGTATCACGGCAGTGTTTGATTCGAGGATGACTTGGTTGAGCTGCAGGCAAAATCGAGCTGCCTGGCCCGCGAGCCGACCAGGAGCCAAATGAAGGGCTTCGCCTGTCGCCCGAGAAGCCGTGCGGCAAGATTCGTGAATGCCGGGGCGGGTGGCAAACGCAGGCCCAGGCGATGCACGGCCAAGGGCCCAGTGCGGTGTGATTGTTTGTGCGCTCTTCAGGGCGGGGTGTGCGCCGTGTCTGAGTTAGCAGCGGGGTCCCGGCGGGCCCGACGCCGCAGGTCGTGTCTCAGCTGGCGGAGGTCGCCGAGGGGCCGCAGGCCCCCGCCCCCAGCGCATCCCGATGCAAGGAGGGGGCGCACGCCTGGCCCTCATCCTCCAGGAGGAAGAGGAGGAGGAGGATGAGGAGGAGGAAGAGGAAAAGGAGCAGCAGCAGCAGGAGGAGGAAGAGGAGGAGGAGGAGGAGGAGGAGGAGGAGGAGGAGGGTCGAGGATCGAGGATCGAGGAGGAGGAGGAGGAGGCGGATGAGGACACGTCCTCCTCCTCCTCCTCCTCCTCCTCCTCCTCCTCCTCGCCCTCGTCCTCCTGCCGCTGCCCGCTCCCACTCATTCTCCGCGCCATGCCTGCCCGTGTTCCTGCCCCCCCTCTTGTCCTGCTGCTGCTCCTCCGTCCCCTCCTCTCCACAGCCCGGGCGTGCTGGCCGGGAGCTGGCCGGGAGCCCTACGCCGCCGCGTCCTGCCCACTCCGCCTGTGGCGACTGCGGCCTCCTCGGAGGCCGCTGCGCTCGGTGCGTCCATCGAAGGGCCTTTGACGGCGGGGCAGGCCGCGGCTCCCTGCGCTTGCAGAGGGGGCCTCGTCGAAGCGCGCGCTGACTAGGATCGTGGTTGCGTGGCGCAAACTTTTCGCGTGTTTTCACCTCGTTGTATAACAGCCCTTCCCTCTGCCCTTCTTGTGTCTCCGTCTCTCAGTTTGTGTGAGTGTGTGTGTGTGTGTGAGTCTATGTGTGTGCGTGCGTGTGTGTGTGTGTGTGGGTGTGAGGCAGCCCCTGTATCCAAGGGGCCGCTCTTTTGCTGCAGCCGCGTCGGATGGCGTCGTGGGTGGAGGCGCGCTTGTTAAAACCAGGGCCATTGGAAGACGGCCCTAATCTCCAGATGTGGGCGCAGAGAGGGGATGGGGGACGAGAGGACGGTGAAAGATAACAATCCCACTAGGTGGGATAGCAGCGTTGCACGAGCAGGAGCGTCTTTGAGCATGTAGCGCGTTCGGCGTGTTATTGAGCATGTAACGCACCCGTCGTGTCATTGAGCATGACATTTTCCGTACACATCGATGTCCCAGCCCCGTACATTGACCACTTTTTGGGACAATGAGTGGCCGGCCATGCTTTTCCCCCAAAGTGGTCGCCCCGACTTGGAGAGACCCTCTACCACTGAGCGTATTGATCATGAGACCTCAATTCCTTTGACATCTTACCCTGATTCTCAGAGGAACGACTATTCTATGTCATCACTCGGGGGGGCGGGGGCGTTTTTCTGGCGACAAGAAACTGGCTGCTGGTTCGCGACGGAGAAGAAGAAGAAGCTAAAAGACAGACTTAGCTCAGACTTCAAAGGCGGCGCCGACTCAGCTTCGACTTAGTGGCGACTTTGGTGGCCAGGCCGACTCAGCTACGACTTCGCTCAGACTATTATGGCGTTGCCGACTCAGCTTCTGATTTAGTACTGTTCGTATCTGTTCGTTAGTTTTGTTCGACTCAGCTTATGACTTGGTCTTAGACTTGAAGCTGCCACGACCCATCTGGGCAGCCCCTGCTCAGCCGGTGGTGCGTGGGGGGCGGCGCAGTGGCCGCCGGCAGCGCCAGCCAATAAGACTTCATTCCAAGACTTCGTTGAAGAAGGGGGCGCCGAACACCTGGGAAGGCGGGGTGGGGTTCTGTGTGTGAGTGTGTGTGCGTGTGCGAGTGTGTGTGTGTGTGTGTGAGCGTGCGCGCGCACATTATGTGTGAGTGTGTGTGTGCGTGTGCGCGCACATCGTGCATGCGGGGCCATCGTCATCGGGTAGGTGGGTCTGGGACGATGCGGCCAAGCCACGCTGGGTGGAAAAAGTGGTGACGTTAACCCAGCCGGCTGGGGTTCTCACAGCTTGCGTCGGCGGGAGCTAACCGACTCATGCTTGCAGATCAATGGCTTGGAGTACCTCTTGAAGGGTGTTTTCCCAAACAATAGGTTTCATGCGAAAGCCAGGGTCCAGCTAAGTAGGGTACCTTTACAAGGGTGTTTTCCCAAACGATAGGTTTCATGTCAAAAGCCAGGATCCATAGGAGCAGTGGAGAGAGGGATATCACACGAGTAGGTCAGCTTCTCGGGCCGTCGGGCTTGTGGGCACGATGTACGTCACGACCGAGATTTCGTGCCTCCGGCACTCTTCAAGTGTGTGTGTGTGTGTGTTTGCGTGTGTCTCGCTCTCTCTCTCTCTCTCTCTTTCTCTATTTCTCTCCCTCTCCTTTTCTCGTTTGTCCTTCCTCTCACACACACACTCTCTCTCTCTGCATATCTAACGAACTTCGACCCATCCTGCCACCGTGCTTCGATTGTGAGTCAGAGTCCTCAGGGATGCTGCTTGGGGTCTCTTCGGAGCGCTCTGGGCGGCCTCTTTGCGGCAGTTTGGGGGCCTCTTGGAGGCCTCTTGGGGACCCCTGGGGAGGCCTCTCGGGGGCATCTTGGGGTTTCCTGCGTCACTTTTCGGGGCATCTTGGGGCTTCCTGGGGACCTCAGGGGGCCTCTTGGGGGCCTTTTGGGGTCTCCTGGGGGCCTCTCGGGGCCGAGGTCGCGAAATGTCCGTTCGGGTTCCCCGTCTGGGTCCGGGCCCCCTCTTGGAGCTGCCTCCGTAGCCATTTTGGCTCAAGTTTCTGCCCGAAGGCCTGGGGGCGGACAGGCCGCCGCAGGCTCCCCTCGGGCGGAGACCATCGCGCTGCCCACGGAGGCGGCGTGGCACAGGCGCGAGCGCCGCGCGCGTGCCGCGGCACGCGCTCTTCTGCACGCGTGGCGGGGCACGCCTTCCCCCCGCCAGCGCGCCCAGCTGGAGGCCGCCGCGGCGCTGCTCGACGGACACCACGGCTCGGCGGCGCCCTTGCTGGCTCTCGCCCGCAGCGGCGACACTGGGGACGACGACGACGCCATGGCGATGGCTGGCAGCGGCTACAGCAGCGGGCGCGCCCAGGCGTGCGCGCACTGCGGGTGCCGCAAGAACGAGCATTGGTGGACGTGGTGCTGTCACTGCAAGCGCCCGCTCCAGCTGGTGCCAGCTGGCGAAGCTGCTCGCGGTGGTGCTAGCAGCCGCCGCCGCTCCACCAGCCTCGGACGTGCTGCTCGCGAACCCCCATGGCGTCAGGATGCCGCGGGGTCGCTTTCCCAGCGGAGGCGCTGGCAAGGGGGCGGCTAGCCCTGCAGGCGCTGATAAGGACAAGTCGGGGCTTTGACGCAAGCCCGCAGCCTGACGGAGGACTCAGGCACGACATCTTCGCGGAGGCCCACGAGCCCACGCTCGCTGCCCAGCGGCAGCGGCGCACTCGGCGCGGCCGCTTGCGAGGCCGAGGCGCGGCGCGGCCGCGCATCCAGCGGGTTTCGAGCAGGGGGTACTCGTTCGGAGAGTGCGATCTCAAGGATGCGGGACCAGTTCGCCGCGAGGGCCTCGAGTACCTCGACGCCTTGCAGCGGGCCCTGCGCACGTACACTGGCCACTGGCTGGAGGGCCCCTTGACGGGCGACGAGGCGAGGGGCGGCTTGCGCTGGCGCCAGCATTGCGTCCCTTTCGTTGCCCGCTTCCTTGCTCACCAGAGCTTCCAAGCTCTGGTCTGGGAGCGCGCGCGGCGAGATGGGCGCGACAATCCTGGAGCGGCGCGAGTCGATATGGCCATCGATATTTGTCTCGCTGCCTTTCGACGCCGCCGCGCTGCACGAGCACGGCATCGTGCCTGGCTGGCCCGCATGCGCACCGACGACCCCGAGGCTTGGCTCCACGAGCTGCTCGAGCACCTCCTCGCGCTGCACCAGGAGACGGAGGCGTTCGACAACGGCAGCGGCATCCATTGGCTCCTCAGCGCCGTCGGCTTACACGACCTCGGTTCCTACGGCATCCACTTGTTTGTCCACCTGCCGTCTGCAGGATGGGAGCCCCCCCCCCCCCCCCCCCCCCCCCCACGGTGCCACTCCCAAGGTCGTCAACGGGAGTGGCCAACGAAGTGGGTACGGGCCATGTCGTTCCTCTACCCGTACGACGTCGAGCCCTACTGGCAGCTCGGTTCTACAACAGGCACCACCTGTCCGAGGAGTACCACCGCGCGGCGCCCTTCGGCCAGTGGCTCCGGGAGCTCATGGCGCTGGTGACGGGCTGGCCGCTGGCGGCGGCGCTGCTCGCGGGGGCTTCCCCTGGCCTGGCGCGGCGGCTGGGCCTGCGGCGGCGGCTGCTGGGCGTGCCGCGAGATGCTGCTCGGCTGCGAAGGGCAAGCGGCGAGGGCCGCGGTCAGACCGCACCGCTCGCACTCGGGACGCTCACGTCGGGATCATGACCGTGAACGTGACATGCTGGACGTCCTGCCTCACGCAGCTGGAACAGGGCAACGTAGATGACGGCATCCACGCCATCCTGATCCAGGAGCACCACCTGACCGAGCCCCGCCAGTTGGCTTCTGCGGTTCGCGCCGCTCGCGCCGCAGGCTGGCATGCTGACCTGATCCCTGCTGTGGCCACAGCGAAAGGCGGCACCTCTGCAGGCGTGGGAGTCCTGGTCCGCCCCTGGGTACATTTTCAGCGCGTCGAGTTCGCCGATGACCGCATCGCCGTTCGATGCTCGGCCCGCCTTGGCTTTTGGATGACCTCCCTCGGCGATCGCGAAGGTACGCTGTTGGTGTCAGCGTACTTTCACACCAGTCAGGGCCTCAGCGACTTCAACCTGGACCTTATGATGAACCTCGGCTCCGTGATTCGAGCCATGCGCAGGCCCTTCGTGGTCGGGGCCGACTGGAACATGACTCCAGAGGTGGTGGAGGAGGCGCAGCTGCTCCTGTCCCTGGACGCGAGGTTAGCACGCTCTAGGGCAGCCACATGCGTCACACACAAGGCTGCTCGGGAGATCGACTTCTTCTGTGTGAGCCAAGATGCAGCTGTGCGGTCTGTCCGCAGGTGCGACCGCTTCGCGGTTCGCACCCACAGGGCCGTCGTCCTGCAGCTGGCTCTCCCCGTGCCTGGCGCGACGGTCCTACGCCTGCGCAGGCCGCGGCCCTTCCCCGTGAAGGCGCTCATCGGACCGCAGCTGCCCCCGC